ATTTTTCAGCTCTTTTACACACCATTTCAATCTTATTTTCTGCTTGTTAATGAGATCTTGTTGGTTGGGGTGGGCACGGCTGCCCAGTATCGCTTGGGTAATTGCACATAATTTTCTCTCTACTAGTGATTTGCATCAGATTTTTTTTTTTTCCTAATTCTTTGCTATTTAAACCCCCTCCTCCCTTTCCCCCTCTCTCCCCCCCCCCCCCCAAATCTCACCCTCTCCTCCCCCTCTTTCTTCCCCTCCCCTTCTCCTGGCCCAGCAAGACTCATTTTGAATGCTTATTATAAGGCACAGTGTCTCCAACAAAAAAAAAAAAATAGAAAAGAAAAGAAAAGAAAGGAAAAAAAAAAAAAAAAAGGAAAAAAAAAATTGGAAAGTGAAAAAAAAGAAGAAGAAGCAGACAGAAAGGATCCATGTCACTGCAGGAAGGAGGCAGACACTGCAATGCCTGCTCCTCTCTCGCCAGCTAACATCGTGTCCTTCCCCATTGCCAGGTTTCCCCCCCCCCCCAAAAAAAAAGGCTGCAGCTGGCTCTTCTCACATTCAGATCATCTCTAATCCCACCCCAGTGGGGCTGAGACAAACATTACCCTGGGCAGTGGGAAGAGCTGGGATGGTGTCGGGAAATGCGACGCTTGGGTAGACTGAAGAGAACTTTGGGTTTAGAGTGAAAACGTGTGGTCAGAGCCCAGCTTTGTGGCTTCAAGGCTCCCTCCAGGAATGGTGATAAAGCTGAAGTTGTAAAACCCGATTCCAAGATTTGGTTGGAAACCTTTGGTTTCCAGCCACAGCTACACCGACTGCGCTGGCTCTACGGCTGTTACACTGGGAATGAACCTGCTTGTGGAGCAAAAAAAGCCACTGAAAGCCCTCCGAAAATTAAAGCAACAAATATGAGATGATGAACAAGTTTCTCTTGGCTCTCAGCATTTCTGGAGCTGTCTTAATCGCTGGGCGATCCTGTGGGTTTGCTGAAAGATTCAGAGCTCTCAGAAATAACATGTGATGGAAGCATAGGGAGCGCCTGGCTCTTAACTCTGCCTTAACACATTCTCCAGATAGACAGCAGCCATTTGCAATAAACCAACCGTCTTTTGCTTTTGGACAATCCCTCACAAGACCCCAACGTGCCACAGTGGATGGTGAGACACATTTGAAATACAGGCCCGGAGCGAAAGCCTTCTGGAAGCAGAGATTTGAGGAGGTGGAGCAGTAAACAGAAGCCTTCTGAAGACCAGAAGACATTCTAAGAGGCAGAAGAGATGTGCTAGAAGGAAAGTAGCTCAGAATACAATAAAGCACGAGAATTATTTGCCATTTAAAAAGTACCCAGGCAATCTCCCATCATCACAAAGGCTCGACCTTTCATTTTCACTTTACACTGACTCGTAAGGTACTCATCAACTCAATTTCCTCCCACTTCCCACACCTCACAGAACTACAGAATCGTTACGGTTGGAAAAGACCACTAAGATCATGTAGTCCAACCATCAGCTCATCACCACCATGCCTGCTAAACCACGTCCCTCAAAAACCATCCTGAAAGACCATCAGGGAAATGCTCAGCTGGACTTAACTGGGCTCGTACTGAGTTTACCATCACACTGATGATGATAAACATTGTGATGAACCTCACACACAGTGAGAGGTGATTCTCAGATAGCAAAGGAGATGCAGAGATGGATGCAAAATGTGATGCAGCACATGGCTAAGGATGTCCTGGTACCTGGCATTGCAGTAATTCAGTTTGATAGGTGATCCCAGACAAATGGGAAATCATCTGTGAGATGAAAATGAGTTGAAAGTATTTAAGAGGGATTTATGAAATACCCTGAGGAGATGGGGACCTCACTGTGATGTTCTCCACTGTCCAGAGCAGCTTTCTGACAATCCGTGACTGCTGCAGCCCTTGGCAGTTGTGGGGGGACACATCTGGCTGCAGCTGGCCTGCTTTGATGATTGCTTTTTGAAACACTCAGAGCAAGATCTTTCCTACAAAGGCTGTCCCAGCACAAAGTTATCCCAAATAACTGCTCGGGTTACGCTGAGGACTTCCAGGAAGGTCTGGGACAGAGAATGGCATGTGGGATCATTCTAAGTAGTGGTTTAATTGTGTGGGACTCTTTGCACAACCGAGGCAGTGTCCTTGCATCATAGAATCACTCAGGTTGGAAGAGACCACTGTAATCTAATCCAGCTGAGCAACCCATCACCACCATGCCCACTCCTAGAATCATTAAGGCTGGAAGAGACCTCTAGTCCAACCATCAACTCATCACCACCGTGATGAATTAAACCATGTCCCTCAAACATCACCGTAGGATGAGGGAGCTGAAGACCAAACCACTCAGGTCTGGAACGGAGGCACAGTGACTTCTAAACTGGGTCAACTGGATGTCCCTGCTGGGAAGCATCGTACAGATCCAGGAGCAGAGCAGGGACAAGGCACAAAGCTGTGGGCTGGAAAACAAGCAAGAAATGTGGCCATTTCCCATGTGAAGTCTGGGTAAAACTCAGCAATGTCTGCCCTTTGTGTCAGGAGGGGAGGACCGAGCGTGGGGGGAACCAAGCCTGCAGAGGCCAAACGTAATCCCCTTTTCTCTGTTGTGGGAATGGAAATGCCATGCTTCTCCTCTTGAATTTCAGCTGCCAGCACCAGGCCCGTCTGGTGGATTCTGGCTGGGACACCCAATCCCAGGGTAACTGGATAGCATGCTGAGCAAATGCTGGGAGCTCCGAGCTGGCAGCCCCCACCGCCTTGTCTAAACTGCAAAGAAATCTCCCTCCTGCTGCTGCTGAGGGATGAAACCAGAGAACTGTCTGTTTGCAGCTCAGACAAACTGCCATCATTTTAAGTTTGCTGGTTGGTTTTTTGTTGGTTTTTTTTTCCCTACTTCTTGAATTCCGTCCTTCCCTGCAGTTGGTATTTAGCCCTAGAGATGTCACAGAGAGCAGCACAGGAGGATGGGAGCGTTGAGGTTTTACCTGTAATTCAGATGAATGGCTGAACTGTGCTCATGTGAGTTGTGCAAAGCATTCTCTATCCTCTACTTACACACCTCGCCGTGTAAAAGAGGACATTTCTAACAGCTCTTGTTCAAGAGGGTAAGAGCATTTCTCACATCCCTCCACTGGGAACAGCAGAGAGCTTAGGAAAGCAGTGAGTTGGCAAGATCAGTAAACAGAAAGCAGTCGTAAAATAACCTGGGTTAGCCTCACCAGGCACAAAAGAAATAGAAGAATTTATATGCTGATATCCTGGCCCTCACATGATTAGAAGCATTAGGAAAATGGGAATCTCCCCTTCTTGGGGGTGCAAAGCTCTCTTTTCTTCAGGACTGCAAGATAATGTATCCTCTCTTTCCCATACAAAGGGCTTATTGGCTCAGGCCTCTATCTTCCCCTACCCTGAGCCTGGGGGCAGGGTAATTTGGGATAGGGATAAGCACAGAAAAAGCATTGGTATGGTCATTTCCATGAGCCTCTGATTGAGTGAGCGGGACCATAAGTAGATGATGAAGGTACGGAAATGGAAATTGCACGATGGACTTGTACACGTCTGGTGCCTGTGCAGCTTATCACGTGGATCTCACCCCCAACTTATTCTTTGGTGCTAAATTACACTTGTGAGAATAGGAATTAATCATGTGCCCTGGACTAGCTAACCTGCCTTTGAATCCCATACTGTATGCTCATCTCCCAAGCCTGGTGCTATTAGAAACCCCTTGTCAGAATGATGTCTCCTTATTTCCCTCACAAAACCACACTGTTTGTGGCAATATTCAGCCCCACACCAGTCACACGTTTTCTATCTTATGACCATCCCAAGATAGAAGTGGGATTTTTATACTGTTTCAGAGGAGCTGCAAGATTTCCCTCTTTCCACTGACACTCTATGTTTTGTTTTCACACTTGAGAAATCACAAGTTGTTGGACCTTAAAATCTATCTACCTCTGTGATGTCCCCGTTTATTGGATCCCTCTCTAAACAGTTGTAGCCTTTTCATTTCAGATGCCTACCTAATTTCTCCCAGTAGTTTCAGATTATTTTGTGCTTCCTGTCCTAAATAGTGTTACTGGCCATTCCGAAATCACAGGCGCTTCATGAGTCTCCATATCTCACAACTGACTGAGAGCAAAAGTGGAAGACATTTGGCAGCCCTCAGGACAGCAGGCACTGCATAAATACGAGTCATTGCCGTTGATGCTCAGCGTATGGTATGTGCTTTACTGCACTTAAAAGGAAACGTGCATTTGGAAAACAGATTTGTGTCGAGTAAACCAAAGACCTCTGCCTACTGAGGTAACGAAAAGTTAGAGCTTTTACCCATAACAGTGATAGAGATGGATTTGGTAGGGGGTGCATTCCCAGCTGGTGCAAATCCTGGCATCTCCACTGACTTCTGCAGGGCTCACTGGCCAAGAACAGGAGCCGCATCCTGTGACACACACACAGCCCAAGCCCTTCTCTCTGCTCTCTCCAGAACTGCTGCTGATGGAGGAATTAAAGTCCACACTGCTGAGGCTTGTTTCTCTGCTACACACAGCATGCAATGCCATGCATGCAATTGGAAGAAATAGGACAGAGCCAGGTGATAACCTTTGGAAGGCAGCTGGGACAAGGCAGGGCTCTTTGGCAGGGTAAGAAGTAAGCGAGTAACATAATTTCTGCCCTAGAAATCCTTCTGGAGCACTGAGAAGGCAAACACCAATGCTCTAGGTCCTGACGTCCGCAGTGTGATGTCCTGAATGTGGTAACTAACAGGATGCAAATGCTCTGGCAGTACAGTGCTGAGCTCAGGATCGGGATACTGCCGGTAAACAAATTAACTAATTGCTTTAACTAGGCCGCCTCCAAGAGCTCGTGACAATAACAATAACTCCCTTGTTAACTATAATTCATTGTGATAGCCTGAAGCCTGCCCTGCTCTCAGAGGATCTGGACCAGCCAAATGTTCTCAGCCAAAGAAAGAGAATGGAAGCGGGTCACATACCTGTGGAGAGAGGCCATTGCTAACAGGATTCATGTGGTTGGCAGGAGCTGCAGCATTCATGAAGCTGTCTGAGTAGCTGGAGAAGCTGTGTCGGGCCCCATAGGCAGAGCTGGAGTCAGCTGCAGCAGCAGCAGCAAGCCCTCCCTGATGCATGGTGGATGGTGGCAAGGGCTGGGGTCTGTGCACGGTGCTGCCTCCATCTGCAAAGAGGTGGTGATAAAATCACAGGATGGCTTGGGTTGGAAGGGACCCTAAATCCCATCTGGTTCCAACCCCCTGCTGTGGGCAGGGTTGCCACCTACTAGGCCAGGTTGCCCAGGGCCATATCCAGCTTGGCCCATGTTGTTTGCTTTGGACTGATGGAATCTTCACCTCAAAGCTGAGCGGAACAGATGTGAGACACACTGGTGTAGCAGAAAGGACCATGGGACAGTGAGCAGAGCAGATCCACCTGCTCTCCAGAGGAAAAAGCGAAGTTTCCATTGATGTGAGCCAAAAGCTGGTTTTCACAACAAAGGAAAACCACCTACCTGTTACAGAGGTCTAAGAGGAATGTCACAAATCAGAAATGACTGACAGGATGTTGTAGGGCAAAGGAGAGAAGGAATGGTCAATAGGATGTTGTAAGGCAAAGGAGAGAAGGAATGGACAATAGGATGTTGTAAGGCAAAGGAGAGAAGGAATGGACAATAGGATGATGTAGTGCAAACTAGAGAAGGAATAGCCAGCAGGGTGGTGTAAGGCAAAGCAGAGAAGGAATGGTCAATGGGATGATGGAGGGCAAACCAAGGAAAGAATGGCCAACAGGGTGATGTAGGGCAAGAGGAGAGGAGCAGAGCGGGCAAATGAATGCTTACCTTGGGAAATGGTGGTGGTTGGGTAGGTGGAGTCTGGCAGCTGGTATGGGGGCAGAGTTGGCATTCCTGTGGGTGGGAAGCCCCCCGGCAGCAGATGGTTGAATGCTGCGAGTTGGTTTGCACCCGCCTGTTTGCGCCATCTCGCTCGTCGGTTGCTGAACCACACCTGGGACAGGGATAGAAAAGATGATGTGTGACTGGCCAAAAATAAACTTGAGTTGGATGATGTCTTGATAACGCATCCAAAGGCGATCTGAGATACTGCACTGGCCAAAGATAGGTTCAAGTTTGCGGCCTGGCATTGACTTTCAGGGTATTTGTCCCCATTCTTTACTCTCCTTTCTCTCAAATTACAACAGTACCACTGCCCTGTCTCCTGGGTAAAGATACAGGCATTTAATATTGTGAAAGATATCATTAAGAGCACGGGAGGGTTCTATCAGCAGCAGGGTGAGAAGAAGAGGAATAATTCAGCTTGTGTATTCCGAGTCAGTCCATACCAAATAGATGCATTGCTACCACCTGGCCATTCTGCCTCGTTATCTGACAACTATGTGAATTATGCTGAAGGATTAAGTACCATAATAGCAACATGGCTGCACTGTTAGGAGGGATAAATAGACAGATTAGCATCATGGTTTCTATGTTAGACAAGCTAAATAGATACAACCAGACCGGAGGGAATACAAGGTTTTCTTAGCTCCTCTGTACTGCAGCAAATCACTGTTGTCTGTATGCTAAGACATGCTCTCCTTGCAAGAGGCATTGCAGTGTGCTCTAGCATTGTACTGCAGCCAATTTAAATCTCTATGCATTAAAACAGATGCAGTATTAATGCATGTGCGAAGCTGGGCTCGTGTTTCCTACAGTGCTAGTTTACCTGTAAGACAAGAGGGGAGATTTTTCCAAATTCATGTCTGCACTGATGTGTTTTATCATGGGCAATCTCCCTTCTGGAGAGTGGGAAGTGCTTCTCAGGCTGTCTCTTGGGTTTGGTTTACTTTATTTAATCAGAGAGGCTCTCAGGACCGATCCCTGTTTGGGGTTCAGAAGTATGCGGATAAGCTTTCAAGCCAGATGAGAATGCAGCTGCTGGACTTTGTGAGGCCTAAAGGGCTAGGAAACACGATTAAATTTCACAGCAACATGAAAAAAATGGAGCAAAAATCAAGAGTGTAAAGCATTCGGGGGAAAAAAATCCTCCATCAGGCTTCCAAGCTGCTCAACGTGAGGTCAGAAGCTGGGGTTACAAGGGGCTGAGGCACTGCCATCCAAACTGTCCCCACGTCTTGCGAACCAAAACAAAACTCTCTCCCTCAAATAAAATGGAATCTGAGTCCAAGGCTCCCTTCCCTCTTTGGAGCAGCTCTCTGAAATGCATGCAGTGCTGATGTCAGGTCCTTGGCACCCAACGTGCCTCTTTACAGACCTGTCCCTACTGCGCTGCCTGGAGCGGCGTAACCTCCCAGCACCTTCCAAAAGCGTGACAGAAATAGGTCAGCACACATCCGATCTGCATTGATCCACAGAGTCCATGCAGGTCGGAATCTCTGTGTTCATTTTTGGCACCAGAAATCGCTAGCAAAATCTAGGACAGAGTTAAGGAGAGAGAAATGAATGAGCATCAAGGCCTGTGGCGCTTTCGAGTTCTTTTTATCCAGTCCAACCCATGACACAGTTTCTAGGAGCAGGGAGCTGCACAAATAAACAACCTTTTGTTTGCACGGTCATAAGAGGTGGATGGTCCTGCCCTTTTCCCTCACACACAGGTATGTGTTAATTCCTGCTCGTTAAGGATGCGCTGCTTGGCTAATCCTCTCCTCTTCCACACTTCAGGCCATTGGAATTGGAAGGGACCCTCAAGGCCATCTGGGCCAACTCCATTGCGATAGAATGGATAGAATGGATTGTGATTGAACACACACAGCTCCATCAGTGCTCAGAGCCCCTCCAGCCTGACCTTCACCATCTCTCTGGGCAACCTCAGTGCCTCACTACCCTCAGTGTAGTCCAGGAATGTCAAAACTTTGGGGATATTTGGGCCATGTTCCATTACATCACATGAAGTTAATGCTGTCTGTGCACTAGCACACCTATTCACACAAAGTTAAAATGCAAAGATGTGTACAGCTTCTCTTATTTTGCTTCTCCAAAGCAAAGGGCGTGCAGTTGATTTGCTTCCTATTTATTTCATATTTATTTTATTGTGAAGGGAGATGATTGAGCAGATCCTTTTACAACACATGGGCCAGGGTTCATCCTTGGGATGCCCTTAAGCTTACAATGCACATGGGCTTGGGAAGGAAGGAAAGCTATTTTCATGGCTTTGGACTACACCTAGAGAAAAAATTGGTTCCTAATTATGCTACAAGCTCCTCCCGTGACCTTGGAAAACTTTGTCTGTCCAATTTGAAGTCAGTAGAAACATTCAAGAAGGGTTGGTCCTTATGCATCAGGTCATCACTTTTAAAGTGAGGATAAACCCCATGAATCCTAGAACCATTTAGGTTGGAAAGACTGCTAAGATCATCCAGTCCAACCATCAGCCCATTTTTCTCATGTTTTAGTTTATTTCAGCAGTCAACCACCTAAGACAGGGGCTGTAATTAACTCCTAGAATGCAGCATACCCAGCCAGGTGATAACTCTGTCTCAGCTGGAGCATCTCAGCAAATAATAAAGAATAATGATAGTAAACACGCATGCAGGCAAATGAGATTCATAACTACACGCCGAAGTGCAGCGCTTCCCAGTAGAGCCTGGATTCTCCAGCCACAAATACACTGAAACCTTCCACAAAGAAATTGATAGGATTTATCTTCCCGTGCAGAGGAAGGGACATTTCATGGCCCAAACAGGTTGATTCTGCCCCTTATTTATAACCCCCAGAAAAAAGGCAGATACATTCCAGCTAATGACGTTAGCAATTCTTTCCCTTCCCCCGCCTTAAAGGTGGCTCAGGCCTTTATGCTTATAAATCATTTTATTGGTAGTTAAAATACAGAGGCTAGAGCATCTAACTGTAACGCGAGGCGCACTTCAAAGGGAACCTGCTTTCATTGCACAACAGTTAAGGTTTTATCAGCCACTAAAGATTCCCCCTGCCAGAGGATCCTGTTACACCATGGTAAGCCTGGGGTGAAGGCTGTGGCTGCTAAAAGCAGACTGGTGGGAAGGAGCTGAGGAAGAGGAAGAAGTTTTGGCACTCCTGGAACAAAACTGCACGGCCAAAGTTTTGTGCTGGGACAAACGCATTGAAATGAGCAAGGACACCCACAGCCCCATCCGTGCTCAGAGACCCTCCAGCCTGACCCTGGCTGCCTGCACACCTCTCTGGGCAGCCTGTGCCAGTGCCTCGCTGTCCTTAAAAACTTCTTCCTGTGAGAACTCTGTGACAGGAGCAGAACTGCTCATTGCACCATGGGCTACACTTGCACAGCAAGCGAGGATGCTGCTCTGAGGCCCGTGATCACACCTCTTTACTGCAGGGTATCTCCTCCAGCATCCCCTACACAGATGGCAGAGGAAGGCACAGCGAAGCTAAGAAACCTCTCCAATCCCTCACTGTCAGCTGATTTTGGAAGAGCCCATCCTCCCCACCAACCTGGGTCTGGGGCAAAGGTTAGCACTGGTTCTTATTTAACCCAAATGCCAGCCCTTCTGAGATGTCCCAGGCACTTGTTCTCAAGCAGAGAACAGCAGAGAAGGGTTGCAGAGACAGCTGCCTGCCAGGATGGGGCTGGACTGAATTATCCCCGCAGCCACCGAGATATGGGTCAGCTCCCACAATTTGTCAGACAAGGAGAGGAAAGGAAGGTCAAAAAGAGCCTCCTGTGGGAAAGAAAGCCTGTTGTTTCCTTGCTCGGCCTAATCAGGATTTGATGTTGGAGAAAGATGGATGGGATAAATGAGCTCATAAATGGAAACAGGGATGGAAAAGCCAAGGCGTGCCTTTGCTCTGCAGCAGGATGGAAGAGATGCAGCGTATGTTGCAGAAACCAGGTGGCAAAGAATCTCAAAACCCAGGCAGACAAATTCCACCAAAATCAGATGAGGTCCCTCCGCAGGTTACATGGAGGCTTTGCAGATATGGCTTTCCTCCAGACCAGGAGAGAGCCTCGCCTGGTCCACACCAGTCCTGAGCATCAGGGACACACGAGCATCATTGAGGCAGCTGAGATAATTCCTTACAGAACAGAGGGGATACGGGCCCACAACAAGGCACAGATTTTAGACACACAGGTTTTATCCATGCATGCAGGGACACAGCTGTATCTAGTGACACTTTGGTTCAGTGCCCAAAATGCTGAGCCTCTGTCACTGGTGGGTGATACAGTTAAGACAAGGTTAGTGGAGCAGAACAAATGATTCTTCACAAATGAGATTATCCAATGAATTTAGCCCATATTTCTCCTGGCGCTTCCCTGCTCCTGAAGGCATTGGCTATTTGTAACATTCTTCTGAAGACTTTGAACCATTTCTGGCACGTGGATTTATTATTATCATTTCGCAAACCACTTTTGATGAAAAGCAACCATCTTTGGCAGTAAGATGTTTGATTACGGCTTCACATCTCCAAACCCAACCCTCCGCACCAACACAGCTTCACACCACACAGTTTCAAAGCCAGAACCATTTTGGTCCACCTTCCTTGGGCTGGAAATTTGGCAATAAAGGTTCTTCTCATGCAACCTCTCGGAGGCACTGTTTGTTTTTCACACAATGGGACAGACACTGCGCTGCTATAAATCAGCACGACTGCACCCGCTCCCATTGAACACACAGCGATCCACAGACGTCTCATCTGAGGAGCTGGGACCCAGTTCATTGCTTTGGCCTCTGGGCCCTCTTTCCTTTGTAAAAAAAGCAAATCGTTGCCACATTGTTGAGGCAATCCCTTGTTCAGCTCGAACCAAAGCAGACCAGGGAACGCAGCACAAAACAAGCTCCTGCCAAATGGTGCAGCTCGTCCTCAAGTTTGCATTCATTCCTGTTGATTCCCAGCCGTGTTTTGCTAGAAGGACTATGGGATTAGGTTTATCATCTTCATCTCCAGTAAATTTCATACTTAATGAAATAGTGCTGACTCTCTCCAGCAAGATGCCCTCAGGCTTACACAGCTGGGAACTTTGTCCCTCGTCAGTGGGACATTTCTATTTCCAAGGGT